CTTGTTGTTTCAGGTAATTAAAACTTCTGTGGTATATTTGAATATATTACGAACGATGACTCCCACTACGTGAGTTACTAGTATGTTAAGTTGAAACGAATATCGTAAATATATTTTGTATAGAACAAATGTGATATTATAAAAAAATAATAGAGATATATTTAATAAGAAAAAAACTGCAAATATGTATATAGATATATCTTTAGCTATACACACTTGTTTTTCACACCCTTGATATACCCACCGCGGTCCCTGGGATCATCCAATTGTTTTACCGTAACTTCCGTTACCGTAACTTTCATAAAAATGAATATATTTCAATTAATTTTTTTTTCAATCGATAGAGAATTGATTAAAGAACTAGCCCATAATATGTAAAAGTTGTAGAATTAAGGAACTTCGAAATATGCAAGTTCAAAGAAAAAAAAAATTTAGAAACGCGAAAAAATCTCGATTTAGAAAGTTACGCTGGGGTGACCAGCCCGGAAATTTGCCCAAAGACCCCAGTGTATGCAGCTAGGGTTAAATATATATTAATATAATATTTTTTAAAGACACGTACGATACCGTCGCATTAAAAAAAAAATATTCTTAATATTAAAAAGATAAATACTTCTTGCAAGAGAAAAGTGATTATAAAAACAGTATCCCTTTGAGACTACGGCGTATATATTCGTCTAGAAGAAAATATTCCTTCTCTACTAACAAATATTTATAAAAAACAACAAAACATAATAAAACGTAATAATTAAAATTTACAAACCTATCTGAATTATATATAAAAGTTTCATATTTGAATACAATGATTAATGTTTTCGTGACTGCATGTCACAGTCAATTCGTTTACGAGAGCCCTCGTGCAGTGTACTCCGTGAGTATCGATCGATTGAAGAGACACACAAATATCCTATCATTACCTATTACTAAGTTACTCGTTAGCGCAGGCGCCACTTCTTGACAACTGCACGCGTGTTCAAGTCGATTCAGTAGCTTCCGCGCGTTTCGCAAGTAATCATGGATGTCAGTCAACCTGTCACGACATATCGGGATGCGAGCGATTACAGTATCCAGTTGAATCGTTGGTTTTTAATACCGGTAGGCGCTTGGCCAAATTCAGCCTCGACAACAATAATAGAAAAGGTGGTTGCAACAATATTAATAATCATCTGCTACGCTCTGATAGCCTACACGGTCATACCTTGCATCCTGAATATTCTGCTCGAAGAGACCGATGTGCAGAAAAAGTTACTAGCTGTTGGTCCGTTAAATCACTGGTGCATAAGCGGCATAAATTATTTCTCCTTACTGTTTCGCAGTCGCGATATACATCGTTGCGTGGAACATATAAGGACTGATTGGCGAACGATGACGGAGATCGCGGATCGACAAGTGATGCTGAAGTATGCCAAAGTCGGCCGTTTCGTCGCCGGGCTATGCGCAATTTTCATGCATGGCGGCGTATTCTCGCATACCGTATTGCAAGGTGCCACCCCGAAGTTCGAATGTATCGGAAACGTGAGCGTGAAGGTGCGTGTGTTATTGTGTCCCTCATACAGCAAATTCGTAGATACCACGCAGAGTCCAGCGGGCGAGATCGCATTAGCGCTGCAAATTATTTCAAGTATCGTCGTCAATTCCATTACGGTCGGCGCCTGCAGTCTCGCGGCGGTGTTTGCGATGCACGCGTGCGGCCAGTTGAATGTACTAATGAGATGGCTGAACAAGTTGAACGATCGAAAGCAGCAAGAGACGGTACAGCAACAAATGGCGATCATTGTGGAGCACCATCTGAGAGTATTAAGGTAATTCCAACGTAAATGTAAGAAACATAGGCTGCGTTCCATTTCACGCATAATGTGCATGATGCGTGAAACGAACGCAGCCTTAGTTGATATTTCTGCTTGAATAATGTATAAAAAATAAATCTCTTATAATTTTTCTTTTTGATTTTTATGTTATTCAAACATTTATCTTATCTTGCCTTCTTGTTTCTTCTCTCAATAATACAATTTTGTACCAAAAAATAATGTTTATGTGTTTTTATGTGTAAAAATATAATTGTAACTTACAGCTTCGTGGCACGGATGGAAGCACTTTTGAATCAGATTTGTTTTGTGGAATTGCTAGGCTGTACATTTAACTTATGTATGGCGGGATATTACGTCATTACGGTACGCTAAAAAATTAAAAAGGTGAATATGTAATTAAGATATATCGCATTGTGCGTCTTTTTATTTTTAAATAACTTGCAATATAAAAGACGCACATGCAAAAAATATTCAATCGCGGTAAAAACATTGCTGTAATATAACTAATAGCGACAAAAATCGATATCTTTGCTGTTGTAATTTCCGAATCACATAACTTATTGCTACTGCACGTTTTAGTTAAAATTAAGTTTATTTGTAATTTCGCTTTATTATTTATGAAATATATAATAAATAAAATAGTAATGATCTCATTCTCGCTATTTATTAAGACTCGTATTCAAAACGCGCTTACAACGATGTTAGCGTGCTAACATGTTATAATTTACGTTACGCATACTATAGAATTTTAGAGATAAAAGCGTACTTTTATCGATAAAAGCGCGTTCTGAATACAGGCTTAAATGTTAAACAAGGATACGAGTTAATAATGATTGAATTGTAAGCACATGAATCGAACTGTGATCGTGATATGACGTGATCAGCAAGTAATGCTATCATATCGTTATAATAGTATAATTGCATACGCTCTTTGATTTTAGTGACAGTGTAGAGTGTAGACGATAAACATATTCTATGTTTATCGTCTACACTCTGCCGTTATGAACATACGATGACACTGCGTTTTTATATTATTTGATAAATTTTTAATAATATTTATATTTTTATATTATATTATTATTTATATTTTATATTATATTAACATTAATATGTTATTAATAATTATATATCTTAAATTGTCATAACACATTATCCAAAAATTTTCAGAAATGGAGTATATTAGAAACAAAAATGTCAATGGATATTTTAATAACTTGTATTATATATCTATCCATGACTTTCAATATCTTCATATTCTGTTATATTGGTGAAACAGTCACAGAACAGGTAAAACATAAATTTATACAAAATTAAAATTTTATAGTACATTCGAAAGTATTCATAAATTAAATAAACCAAATATATTATATATTCAATTACCACAATTTTTCATATCATAAAATAAATTATTTAATAGTGTAAACAAGTAGGCGAAACAGCTTACATGACTAATTGGTATCATTTGCCACATAAAACGGCTCGTGATCTGATCTTAATTATCTCCCGATCAAGTAATGTGATCAAATTAACTGCAGGGAAACTAATTCATCTTTCTATCGAAACCTTTGGTAATGTGAGTGCACGAAGATGTACGTTATGTTTTTACAGTCAAATATATGTTCAAAATGTTTTAGGTGATGAGAACCTCCATGATATATCTAAACATGCTTCGGACCGTGACAGCTTCTTAGACAATAATAGGTACACTTTGTACAAAGTTATCATTTTGTACAAAACATTAACAAATTTTCTAGTTACCACCGCAACTTTACTTATATTTGAATAACTGTACAAATTACTAATAAAATATAAGACATCTTCTGTCTAGATCATTTCTAAATCCTGAAAATATAATAATAAATACAAGTCGCTAACAATTAAACTATAGAGCTGTAATAAATACAGAAATTCAAATAACATATAAATAAAGATATTCGGACCGAGTTTAAGATATTTTTTGGCTATTCAATATATCGATATTAAAAAAATCAATGTAGAAAATGACAAAACAAACCTTTTGACCTTTAATATAGTTATCTAATAATAAAGTTTACTAACTTATCTCTGAATTATATATGTACATCTTATATTTGAACAACAGTAAATTAATGTTTTCGCGACTACATGTCAGTCAGTTCGATTACGAAACATCCCGTGCAGCGTATTCCACGAGTATCGATCGATTGACGAGACGTACAAATATCCTATTACTAAGTTGCTCGCTGGCGCAGGCGCCACTTTCTATCAATTGCACGTGCGTTGGTGCGTTTAAGTCGATTCAGTAGCATCCGCGCGTTCACTGAGCAATCATGAATGTCAGTGAACCTGTTATGTCACACCATGACGCGAGTGATTACAGTACTCAGTTGAATCGTTGGTTTCTAAAACCGGTGGGCGCCTGGCCAAGTTCAGCTTCGACACCAGTCAGAGAAAAGGTGATTTCAACAATACTGATAATCGTCTGTTACTCGCTGATAGCCTACACGGTCATACCTTGCATCCTGAACATCCTATTCGAAGAGACCGATGTGCAGAAAAAATTGAAAGCTGTTGGTCCGTTAAGTCACTGGTGCATGAGCGGCATGAATTATTTCTCCTTACTGTTTCGCAGTCGCGATATACATCGTTGCGTGGAACATATAAGGACTGATTGGCGAACGATGACGGAGATCGCGGATCGACAAGTGATGTTGAAGTATGCCAAAGTCGGCCGTTTCGTCGCCGGGCTATGCGCAATTTTCATGCATGGCGGCGTATTCTCGCATACCGTATTGCAAGGTGCCACCCCAAAGTTCGAATATATCGGAAACGTGAGCGTGAAGGTGCGTGTGTTATTGTGTCCCTCATACAGCAAATTCGTAGATACCACGCAGAGTCCAGCGGGCGAGATCGCATTAGCGCTGCAAATTATTTCAAGTATCGTCGTCAATTCCATTACGGTCGGCGCCTGCAGTCTCGCGGCGGTGTTTGCGATGCACGCGTGCGGCCAGTTGAATATACTAATGAGATGGCTGAACAAGTTGAACGATCGAAAGCAGCAAGAGACGGTACAGCAACAAATGGCGATCATTGTGGAGCACCATCTGAGAGTATTAAGGTAATTCCAACGTAAATGTAAGAAACATAGGCTGCGTTCCATTTCACGCATAATGTGCATGATGCGTGAAACGAACGCAGCCTTAGTTGATATTTCTGCTTGAATGATGTGTAAAAAATAAATCTCTTATAATTTTTCTTTTTGATTTTTATGTTATTCAAACATTTATCTTATCTTGCCTTCTTGTTTCTTCTCTCAATAATATATTATAATATTATATAATTCCAACAAAAAAAAGTTTATATACGTAAATATGATTGTAATTTACGTTACTTACAGTTTCGTGACACAAATGGAAGCACTTTTAAATCAAATATGTTTTGTAGAATTGCTAGGATGTACGTTTAACTTATGTATGATCGGATATTATGTCATTACGGTACGCTAAAGTAAAAAAATGAATATGTAATTAAGACATATCGACATTGTATCACTTTTCATACTTAAATAAATTGCAAAATGAAAGACGCACATGAAATAAATAATTATTGCACAGACAAAATTGCCACAATACAATCAAGCGACAGCAAGCATGATGTAATTTAAGATTCATATAACCGTTATATCTTTGGTGTAAAGAAGCATCGAATTTCAGAAAATAAATGTTAATAATTGTAATTTGAGTTTGGACCAATGACAATAAGTCTAATCAAGTTATAAGAAAATCCTATTTTCAATCAAAGCGAATTTTAATGCGTAAAATATTTCAGTGAGAATTTATGTACAAATCCATTCTGCGTACTCTCTTTGCGAGCTGACATTTTTCGGTCTTAAAACGCAATCATGAACAGAATTAGAAAGTAATATCATATATTGAATTGACTTGATTGTTCTTGTAAGATAAGATTATCATCAGTATTAGAATTGTTACATTCGTGTTGTTCATTAAATATTAAACAAGAATAAATGATACAAGTATTGTGAATGTGAATTTGTGGCTGTGATGTGAACAACGAGTAACATCGCCACACAGTAATTTTTTCTGCGTGCGTTGTCCGATTTTGAACCATGTCTTCTACTGTCGTTATTGGATATACTGTGGCATTGCATCCTTATATTATTTTTCAACATTTAATAATACTTTTAATAATAATTGTATATATAAATTTCATAAATTATCATAAAACATTACGATATACTTTCAGGGATGGAACACAGTAGAGACGGCAATGACAATAGCTTGTATGATGATCGTATACATATCCATGACCTTCAATATTTTTATATTTTGTTATATTGGCGAAACGGTAACAGAACAGGTAAAAAATACAAATTATGAAATAAAAATTTTGTGGTATAACATATATATACTTATATATACTTATATGTATTATCTTGTCCAAGTTTTATTAAGAGTACTAAATATGTGCATTTATCACGACTTTTCTCTTGAAATAAATAATTTAATAGTGTAAACAAGTAGGAGAAATAGCTTACATGATTAATTGGTATCGTTTGCCATATAAAACGGCTCGAGGTCTAATCTTAATTATCTCGCGATCGAGTAGTGTGATCAAATTAACTGCAGGGAAACTATTTCATCTTTCCATCGCAACTTTTGGTGATGTAAGTACACAAAATGTATATTATATATATTAACATAGGTGCCGACTTGCGAAAAATATTAGAGAGACACCGAGAAATAATGGAGAGGAACACAATAATATTCACTTTTTTGCGGTGCTGGAAGATATATATCGCTGAAATAATTAAAATTTATCAAATTAATGGAGATTTTAACAATTTCAGCGATTTATTTCCGTCAAGAGTATCGCAAAAAAGTGGATAATATTGTGTAATTAACATCCACTTCTTCAGAGGATTATAATGTACAAGATATTTTGCAGGTATTTGGTTATAGGAAAAGAGCCCTCTTGTCCTTTCTCAGGTTTCTCTCTGGTATATGCAAGGACTAGGGGTTCCTTCCAGTGGCATGTTTGGATTTCCATCTGGGTGCTCCCCGGGTATCACGTCTAACAAATGTTAAACAAGGATGACATGGTACCCGAGGAGTACTTTAATAGTCATTAGAACAACAAGCGACTTAGTGCATCACAATAATCATCTCATCCTTGTTTAACATTGGCGAAGAACAAGACTGTAATGATGTAATGAACCTTGTCATACCATGTCATTACATCATCTCTTGTTGGAAGGCACTCTAAGGGTTGTATTCATGGTCGTGATTCAACTTGAGATTCAATTAAAGCTAGGTTTGAATCAGTCTTTTATTTGAAAACCGCTTTTCAAATCACGACTTTAATAAATCTGACTGATTCAATCTTTAGTTCAAACCTAGCTCGCTTGAAATGAGGATCAATCGTGGATCGATCTACGACTATGAATACGGACTTAGGATAGCAGACGGCGTACCAATGTCACTTTTAATTCGCCGCATCAACGTTATGTATAGCGTATGCCATGTGGCCGGGCCTTTCTTACAGTTTTGATCATAGAAATTATTTACAATTGTTAAAAAACCTTTTGCTAAAAAACTAAAAGATAAAAATTATTGAGGGAGTATTGCACTCTCTAAAATTATTGGGGGAGCAAAAAGTGTCGCCCACTCTCCCCCCTGCCCCCCTCCCGTAGTCGGCGCCTATGTATATTATGTTTTACAGCCAAATATATGTTCAAAATGTTTTAGATGATAAGATCCTCCATGATTTATCTAAACATGCTTCGGACTATGACAGCTTCTTAGACAACAATAGTTACACCATTTTGTATAAAGCGTTAGCAAATTTTCTAGTTATCACTATAACTTTATATGTTATGTTTAAATAACGGTATAAATTATTAATAAAATACAGAACATCTAGAATATATAGTATATTTTTATATCCCGAAAAAATAATTTAAATAAATAAAAATTATTAAGAATTAAATTGAAGCAAACTGTAAGGATCTAATGAAATAAATTCAAACAATAAATAAATAAAGGCTATATTAGTCGAGCTTGTTTTTGATGCCAAATATATCAATACTCAGTAAGAAATGATAAAACGAACATTTTGATGTTTTATATAATCATCGTCTGTGTCACAATAAGTATAAAATTATAAAAATATCCATATAAATTTACTATGATTCTTATGACTATAAAAATATATATATTATAGTTTACTTGCACATTAATCTATTATGGTAAACTAAAAATATGAATATATGTTATCAGCACTTTGTAATGTCTTTATTTAGAAAATGTTACTACTAATTACGATTTTCCAGAATTGGAGTGATTTTGCGCGAATGACATCGTATATTATATTATATACGTATCTATGGCGTACCTCAATATTTTTATATTTCGTTACATTTAATTCCTCAAATTAATAATTACACAAATTTATTTAATTTATTTAATTACACAAATTGATAATAACTATTTAAAATCATCTGAATTATTATGCTTAAGAATATACATAAATTCCTTATTTAATTTCTGTGTGGAGCATAAGGCCTCTAATGAAGTTCCAGTAACAATAAAGTTTTTTGGGAATTAGATTAGTAGCCTAATGTTCAACTCCCAATCTAAAGGAAAATCTACAATTTAATGCCAGATTCAAATGGCGCTGATGATCAAAAGTCTCTTAATCACCAAGTGGAGTCATTTTAGGCTTCTTAAA